GGATGAAGGGATATAAGGAACGGGGGGATGCAGGGACCCTCCAGGAAGGCAGCCCTACCGCTGCGCTTGCCTTGGAAATGCTTCCTCATGAATATTTCCCTCCTGCCCTGTGGCAAGAGCCTTTCAAGTTGTCCAAATTATTAAAGTCAATTTTCCTGGAGGGGAGAAAAGTGCTGATACCCATTTTGCTTGCAATGTGCTTTGTGCGGGATGAGCTGTTTCCTCGTGAGGACAGTGGTGCACTGGGAAATGGGGCTCTGCATCGGGCTTCACCGTGCTGGGTGGATTTTGGGGTGGGCAGGGGTGATGCTGGAGAGAGGGGTGCCATCCTTGCTTTTTCCTGCTTTAGAGGCTGCAGAGGTGGGTGCCTGTGACAGTCTGGGGCCTTTATTCAGCTGATGTGGCCATGCCATCTGCCTGAGTCTTGTACCTTATTGTGGCTGATGGCCACAGCACTTCACCTCAAGCTGATTTTCTCTATGAGTTCACAAAGACTGAACAAACCCAACTTTAGGGAAACAGTTGTTGTTTTGCACATTCATTCCCATACCTCGATTAAAATGAAATTAAAAATCATTACCTCCCTGCTGCTGTGCTGCTGGGCCAGCTGTCAGTGCTTGACCCTCCACCATCTGGGCTGAATAGATGGCCCCAAGGCAATGGGCTCTGTTTAGGAGAGAGAAGGGAATTTTCTCTTCTTCCAGAAAGGAGAAAGAAAAGAGTAAAGCCTGGTGCTATTAAAATAATTAAGGAATGATTGGAGAGTTCAGGGAAGGAGGGAAAGGGCTCTGCTGGCTCCTGAGCAGCTGTGTTCCGCTGCAGCATCGATGTGCACCAGGTCATTTAGATGCTTAATGATAATCTCTGGTTAAAAACAAAAGGAAAAAAAAAAAAAGGATTTTTAGGAGAAGATTTGGTGGTGTGATGGGTACTGGGCAGGAGGAGCCAGTGAGGGACCCGACCCGCTGTCTCCAGCATTGGGTGCTCACCCTGAGTGTGCCACCTATCACTGCAGGACCAGGGACCCTGATCCCGAGGTCCCTCTGGCAGAGCATCCCAACTGCTGTACTTACCCTCTGCTGCTGGGAGGTTGAAATTGGCCTCAGATGAGTAAAACCTGGTGCTGCTGTCCTGCTTGCATAGAAAATGTGCAGTTGCTCTGCAGAGCAGCTCCTTCCCACTAAGAAATGCATTGGGTTAATCCCACAACTCATCTCTCTAGTTTTGTTTCAAAGATATTCTATAAATCCTCCTGAAGCAGAGCAGGGAGTGAATGTGAATAACTTACAGCAATTTCTTTCTTTTCCCCCTTTTCTCCCCTTTTTGTCTTTTAAATAGAAAAGTTTGCTTTATTAGAGATGCTGTCAAGGCAATTAAGCCTAAAAATTGACCTACCTTAGAGGTTTAAAAGCCTTATTATGGGCTTTGGCTTCAGGAATCCCTTGGTATCTTGTCTTTAAAATGCTGTTTGTTACAGCAGAGGAATGGAAAACAAGGGCGTTAGCAGGAGGAGCAGCAAACATGGGCTGGGCAGTTCAGTGTTGCTGTTCCCAGCCAGGTCCTGGAGCCCAGAGAAACTATCTTACTGACTCCCTTTTTTTCCCCCAAAGGGAGAAAAGTGGTGTTTTGTTATCAGAATATCTAACAGATTTGTCTGTGTTTCTGAATAACCATCATCAATTTAATTTTTTTTCACTCAAAACATTTCATTTCAACATTACTGGAATGAAACAAGATGGTTTTGTTTCCCATCTGCCTGCCTTTAAAAATACCCTGCCAGTTTATTGAAAGGAAGGCTTGTATCTGAAATGATGCATTTCACCACCCCAAACAGATTGCCAAACCTGAAACACAGCATTTTTTCCCCTCCCAATTGGTGGAAATATTAGAAATTGAAGACTGACTTGAAGCAGATTTTATTTCTTTTTTATTGTGGTGGTGGTGTTGTCGTATGACTGAAAAATCCCTTTTTCCACAGCTTTAGTTTTGCATCTTCCAAGTAAAACTCAATAAAACATTTTTGGGGATATGAGATGTTGTGGGAAGCTGTGAGATGTCTCCTTTGCTTTGCCACCAGGTTTTCCTGACAGCAGTCATGCTGGGTGCTGGGAACCAGGGTACTGGAAACCGCTCAATGGCTTTGGGAGATGGTTTCCTGACGCTGGTAGTGGTTCTGCTCCAGCCGGGCTGGCAGACCTTCCTTTGGTGTGTTCAGAGCTGGGCTGGCTGCTGCATTAGTGCAAATCAAGCAGTTGATATGCAGCCAGCGTCCTTCACCAACCTAGATTTGCTTGAAAGAAACCTCTTCCTTCTGGACAGAGATCTGAGTCATGGCTTGGACATGGCTTGGGTTTGCAACATGGGTTTTCTTCCCCAAGAAAAGCCCTTGTGTTCTCATCCCTCATCCTTTTGGATGTGTCATCTGCTCCAGGTCACCCTGCAAGTGCTGGGGAAGGTTTTTTGCAAGCTGTCCTTCAGCCATTCATCCCCCCTTGGAGCAGATTTGAGTTTCCCCCATGGGTTGCATCCCTCACCTATTTATAAGGAAAATTGAAATCATGGAAGCACCAAACCCCCTACACCAGAGATCAAAACCTGATGCACTCACACAAGGCCAGGAAACAAATTGTGTCACCCTGGGAAAGGTGAAACTGGGAGGTTTGTCCCAGTGATGGATTACAGCCATTAGCCAGGGATTAGAAGCATCTAACTCTTGGAGAAGGAGAGAGGTTTGCAGGCAGCACCATTTTCTTGGCCTTCAGCTTTTTCCATTGTCAAAAATAGTCCTCAGACAAGCAATTCAATAGTCCCAATGTTCTGATGTAGTGAAGGGAGAAGGCTTCATTATATTAAAGTCAAATATACAGGAATATAATGGAAAATTATACATTTCAGACCATGCTTGAAAGAGTGGCATATTAAACATCACGGTGAAAATAGCTAGTTAAAATGTTCCCAGCCTGCGGTACGTGCCAGCAGAGAATTGCATTATTTTCCTAGTTATTTGTCTGATGACATTTAGGTTTATTTTTTTTCCTCTTTCTTTTCCTTTTGAGAGAGGGAGACTTACTGCTCTCTTCAGCTCTGGGTTTTCTGCTGCAGACTTAAAATCCAGGGCTCTCACAACAGCGTCCCAGTGGGGCACCAGTAACTCCCTGTTTGGCTGATGAAGAGCACTGGGGCTGGAGAGCTCTGGCCCTGTGTCCTCCACTGATGCCCAGGGGAAAGAATGGCAAAGTCCATCTTCTCCAACCCCTCTGCTCCCTCCTGTGCATCCCAAGCATGGCTCCACTGGGCAGTGGGATGCAGTGGTGCTCGCCTCAGATCCTCCTCCTCCTCATTCCTCCCAGGGCTCTGGGGAGATGCTGAGCTCCCAGCGAGGGGAGTGATGTTAACGCTGTGTGGCTGTCAAGAGGAGGCCAAGCCTGTCAGATTTTTAATTAAACAATTATCTTCTGGAAACTGGCATTTTCTGTCAGGGCACCCAAGCTGAATCCCAACGAGACCAGGAGAGGGAAACAGTGAGGAACAAGAGCCTTTGGGGGAGCCCTGGAGGGGAGAGGGGCACATGGGGGTGCGGGTGGTGGAGGCTCAGGAGCTGCAGTGAGTTCTGACTGCAGCCTCCTGATGCCTTTAGACCTGATAGGGCTCTGGGCAGCCTGTGGGCAGGTGGGCTCCGCATCACCTCTGGGTACACATGCAGACAGAAACAAGTTGGTTTTCTGCCTCCACCCTGCTGTGGATGTGCTGCATCCCACTGGTTACCACAGGGGTGTTTTGGGGTACAGAGGCTGTTTTATGGAATTACATCTGCACCTTGTCTGGTGATAGGGGTCCTGAGAAAAGCCTCCAGCATTGCAGCCACAAAAGCAATGGTAAGATGAGACTGAGCATTGCTGATGCTGAGCGAGGGGTTGTTTGTCTCCCCCATATCAGTGCCATGCAGCACCCACCCCTAGCTCAGGCTTTGTATGACTGAGATGAGAGGTTTTGCTTTGAGGAGGGCTCTGCCCCAGTTAACTGAGCGCCCATCAGCAATGCAGAGGCAAGAGCGGTGCCTGTCATTGTGTCAGCCCTGATTAGCGTGCACATCTGTAATTAGACAGAGCAACTGTGATTTCCAGCCTGGCTGAGATCTCAGGTGGGGTATTTATGGCAGTGAAATGCTTGAAGGGATCTTCTTATCAGACTGAGCCTTTGAGCTTGGGTTTGACAGGTACTTCAAAAAGTGATAGCTATTTTGGAGGTGCAGAGCTCAGAAAATAGAAGCAGCAGTGTTTTCCAGGTGGATTCTCTTTGGGGTGTTTTTGCTTATAATCCTTTTGCATGAAGCTCTGCAGAGATGCATGGGGGAAAAGGGGGTCTCAGGACCAGCCCCTTCCATACACCAACATCCTGGTGCTCACATAACATCTCTGTGGCAAAATAAGGGAGCATGGAAAAATCTGTCTTCCCAGGGCAGAAAGTTCCTTCAAAAATAATTTGTTCCAGAGGGAAGGGATGCACCAATGCTCTTCCAGTGGGGAAGTCACTGCTGAGCCCAGAACAGTGACCATGCACCGGCCCTGCTGGAGGGCAGGAGCCTGGCTGCCTGCTCCTGCCTGCCCTCCCTAGAACCTATGACACTGCTGTGCCAGTTTCGGGGCATGCTGCTTGAGCTGCTGCACAAATGGGAGGGTTTCCTATGCACGCAATGATGACTCTCAGGACAGGGAGATAGAATGTCGGAAAGTCTTCCAAAGACCAGCAGCGTTTCGTAACACACACTAAAAATACCCCATGGTCTAAGTGCTGCTGGCTCTGTATAAATAGCAGTTATCAATATGGAGGTGCAGTGACAGCAGCATCAGCGTGGGCATTAATGTTTGCTCCATCCTGGTGTGCAGCTGGGTGCTGCCTCCCTGCCCCATCCCAGTGGGGAGCTCTGAGGCTGGGAGAGACACCAGCTTCCACTCCTTTACAGCCATCAGCACTGGGCAGCAAGCCTGCAGCAAAGTGGCAGTGGGAAAAGAGATTTGTTTCCATCTTCTTCAAGCATCTGAGGTTGCTTTATTGATTGCTTTATTTGTGCACCGCCAGTCCCAGCCCTGGGCTTTCCACTGGCTGGTTTGGTGGTCATAGCACTGGGGCAGCAAAGCCTGGACCTCCCTCTGAGCAGGCAGGGGCAGAGGAACAGAGGATGCCAGACCAGACCCAGGGCACCACTGCGATGCTCTTGCTCTGGATTTATCATGATGTCTTTACCAGTCCTAACTCCTCCCCTGTATATTATAATTACTCCCCCCATTCCTTGCCTGCAGCTGCAGTGTTTCTTGGGCTGAACCAGTTCATACTTTAATTGGAAAGTGGCCTTTTGCATGAAAACTGATTTTTAATTTTATAACTTACCAAAACCGAAGAAAAGCGAGACTAAAACGGAGCAGGGTGACCAGTACATCTGCTGATCTTTCAACCCTTTCTGTAGCACTTTATAGCTTGTGGAGTTTTACTAGTTCCAGTTTTCTGCCCTGCTTCCTTTGGTGGACAGACATGAGCTGTGGGTTTCAGCGGGTGGGAAGAGTTTTGCCTAGGGGAAGGACAAGACTGTCCCTGCTTCTTGCCTGCTCTCTGCTCTTCTTCACAGGTGGACCCTTACCTGCCTTACGAGTACACCTGCGAGGGGATGCTGGAGCGGATCCATGCGTACATTCAGCACCAGGTTGGGAGCATTCCTGTCCTCCCTGGAGAACCATAACTGACCTCCTATGGGTTCCTCTGGGCAAGTAGCTGCCTACCCAGTGCAGGTCCTCAGCAAAGGACCCCAGGTCCCAGCCATGTGCAGCCAGTGACCTAACTGCAGAGCATACCAAGAGATGGGGAATGGGGGAGGTTTGTTGTGAACAAAAGATGCTGGAGGGTTGCTGGAGGGTCTCTGGGGGTGCCAAGACTGGGTCAAGGCCATTCTGCAGATAATAAGGGAGCACTGGGAGAAGAGAAAAAGAGGTGGCCTGTGCTTTCATCTCCTACAGCGTGAGATGCCATCTGTGCATGCAGGCAACCTCAACCTGAGGAGCAAACTCATTAGCCCAAGTGTCCTCGTGTCCCACCAGCAGCATCCCTTCCCCATCCCCAACATCTTGCCCTGTTCCTCTGTGCACTGACCTATTGTCTTTTCTCCCACTAGGATTTCTGCACCACATCGTCCCCTTCTCTGCCTCCCAAGGCTAAGAGTCCTGCTATGCAAAGCCCTCCAAGCGTGCTGGTGCTGTCCCCCAATGCCACTCACCTCATGTGGTCCCCCAGCGCCAGCCGGGACCCCCATGCCTGGCCGCCAGTGGACTCGCTGCAGGTGTGGCTGTCAGAGGCATGGCACTCATGCACTGAGACGTGCCGGCGGCGCGGGCTGGTCTGTGAACCCACCTTCTTCAGGTTCCTCAACAAGAAGGACGTGTTTCTCCAGTGAGTTCTCAGTGGCAGGGTGGTGGGGGGAGCCGTCAGCCAGATGATGTTCTCTTTGCTCCTCCCATCCCCAGCACCCGTTTTCCTTGTGTCCTCCCTGATGAATCCCATTGAGGTGCCTTTGTGTCCAAGATGATGTAGGCAGGGGCGTTGCCTGCAAAGCAGCCCATTATCACAAGATCCTAGACCAGTTTGTATTGGAAGGGACCTTAAAGCTCATCCAGTTCCAAGCCCCTGCCACGGGCAGGGACACCTTCCACTAGAGCAGGTTGCTCCAAGCCCCTGTGTCCAACCTGGCCTTGAACGCTGCCAGGGATGGGGCAGCCACAGCTTCTCTGGGCACCCTGTGCCAGCGCCTCAGCACTCTCACAGAGAAGAACTTCTGCCTAAGAGCTCATCTCAGTCTCCCCTCTGTCAGTTTAAAGGCATTGATTTCATGTGTTGGCCTTGACCAGCTTCACACTTCAGAAGGCAATGACAGCCTTTCCAGGCACATTTTCGCATCTCTCCCACCCCATTCCTCTCCATCTCCTCCATGCTCTCTCCTAGTCTCTTTTTTTTATGTCTTTCTCAATAGAAGTGCATTTGGAACAGAGCAATGGAGTATAAATCTGCCACCAGGCTCTGTGCTGCTCTGCAGGCAATTAAAACGTGAGCATCACCATTGCTGTCAGGCAGGTGCAGTGAGTCCCACTGACATTTTTATATGATAAATTAGACTTCACTCTCTTCCCTCCATTCCCCCCCTCCAGACCTTAAACCAAGCTGCACAGGGACTCATCAGTTGAAAGGGGTTACTGGGAGGGCAATGTCAGTGCTACTACTCCATCTGAAGACACAGGCAGGGGTAGGAGGAGTGGAATGCTGAGATCAGCACTGGGCATTTCTGCTGCTTCTCAGGCTGCAAGGCTCACCCATTCCTGCATGGTATGTTGGGCTGATGAGAAGCATTCATGTCTAGCCATAGTGCTTACGGTTCCTGGTGCAACCACCAAAGATCTGGCCCAAAACATAGTGAAGGAACCTGGGAAGGACTGAACAGCAGTAAAACCCCTGCAGAGAAACTCAGGCAGCCTCTTCACTGGAACTGACCCACGTTTGTCTGCATTCCCAGGCTCAGCATCACCTGCGACAGCACTGAGTACGAGATGAACCATCTTTACCCAGCAGTGGCCGAGAACGTCCATGAGTGCTACCTCCAGAAGGAGACACTGCTCTTCAGCTGTGCAGGCTACAACACCAAGTACCGGCGCCTCTGCCCCTGCCGTGACTTCCGCAAAGGACAAGTGGCTCTGTGCAGGGACTGCTTGTGACCAGGGGGGTTGTGTCTGCGACACGCAACGTGCAACAAGTGGCTTTTTCTCAAAGCTTCTGCAATAGCCAAGGGAGGTGGGACAGGTCCCTCCCGGGGGGTGTCAGACTCTGGGGGTTGTGTCGTCCACCAGTCAACTGTGAATGACCATGTCCTGACCTTTGGTTTCATTTTCTCCTTGAGGAGCATCGTCCAACCACATCCGAACCCACCTGGACCTGGTGGCGCTGGGACAGGGTGATGGGGAGAGGGGGGCTAGGAACATCCTTCCCCTCCTCTGGCAATGGGACAAGCCACCAGCAGACCACAGTTTCAGGGGTTTCATCCTCTTCAAGCATCTGAGGTTGTTTTATTTATTGATTCATTTCTTTTTTAACCCTTACCCCTGACAAGTGGTGAATTAAAGGGGAAGCAACACCCAGCCCTTCTGCAGGAGTTCTTGGCAGAGCTATGTTGGGGGCAGAGGGGGGCTGCTAGTGCACACCTTGGTTGTGGAGCTGGGGGAGGACAAAGCTCATAGGAGCAGCTGGGGTGGATGGACGCACAGAGGTCTGCACCAGCACTGCCCCCAGGATGAGCCAGTGGGAGATGGATGGACTCCAGGAAGTGAAGGATGGGGCTGGGGAGGGCTCTCAGGAAGGATGCTGGTCCCTTGGGCAATGGTGTTGGCTGGGCAGAGGTATCTAAAGTGAGTCCCTCACCAGCCCTCAGGCTGCTCTCTGCCCTGCCAGGCTGTGCACGGAGCTGTACGTCCCTCCAGGGACTGAGGCACTGGAGCTGGCAGCAGGGGTACGGGGAGTGTTTGGTGTTTGAATGAGCAATATCCTTTCTCAGCATACCCCAGATGTTGCAGGCCCAGGAAGAGGTGAGCTCCATGCAAACATCTTCCATGATGGTCTTCTCCATGCCACTGACCTCACTGCAGGGGCGTTCTCTGCTGCTGGAATTTCCCACCTGCAGGTCCCCTTTCTGGGTTAGTGCTGCCTGGGGTGACCTGGTTTGGTTTTGTAGGATTGCTCACCAGAGCAAATGTGTTGCTGTAAGGTTGGTGCTCAGACCTCCTGTTGCTTGGAAGCGTTTGATGGTGAGTTTCCTGCATCCCATAAAACATGTGGCTTGAAGGTTACAGGCTGGAAACTCCCTCCTAGAACATCCCTGCATGGAATAGGTCCCAGCCCAGCAGGCAAGGTGGGGTGCAGCCTGTCCTGGCAGTATCACCACAGGGTCCCAGGCCCTGGTGGGTTTGTCTCCCCTGACTCAAGGTGACTGATGGAGAGCAGTGGCATGGCAGGATAGGTGCCTGAGGTCTCCCCTGCCATCCAGCTACTCGCTGGAGCTGCGTCGTGCAGCCCTGGCATCTCCAGCCCATCCTCCTTGTGCCTCGGTGGTTTGCAGCCAGGTTTGGGGAGAAAATCTTATTCCTTCTGCTGTGCAATAGCGCTGGTTAGACCCCAGCTTCCCTTGCCATCTCCCTGCTCTGGTCCCAGGAAGGGGAACACCACAAGGTTCCTGTGTCCTGCAGGCATCCTTTCACTGTGGTGAGACCAGCCGCATCCTGCACCAGATGAGGCAGGAGCTGGAGATGCTGCTATTATCCCAGAGCAATTTGTCATCTTCAGTGCAAAATTGCATAGGCAGCTTCCATCCCGCAAGGGGAAGGATTGATTAAGTCATTTTTATCTTGCAGCCAGCGTGTGTATATATATATAAAAGTGGCACAAACCTCTCTGCAGAGCTGAACACCACCACCCCATACCCCTCTACAGCACCTTTCATCTCAGTCTCAAAACCTGGCAAAAGCTCCAGCTGTGGGTGCTGTGTGGGCAGGAGCAGACCCAGGGGCTTTGCAAGCAGGAACCACCAGCGATTCACTTCCCAGGGCTGTAAGGACCGAATAAACCCCGGTTTTATAAAGGACCTAAATTAGCTTTAAAGACAAAAGAGGCTCAGGATGGTTGCACAGCAGCTCCTTGGGCAGGTTTTTCCAGCGGTTCTGCTTGAATGCTTTTAAAATCACCTGCCTCCCGCTACAGAGTCTCCCAATTATCCCCTGGCAGGAGTAATTTTGTCCAAGCTGAAATGAAAGGTGGCTGGCTCACCTTCACTGCTGCCATGGGGAATAATGGTCTGTCTGGAACCTTGCTGGATCTTGAGCCAGCCTGTAAAATTGGGTGATGGGGCTGAGTAATACTTTGGTATTGCGTGTTGTGGCCCTTCTCCATCAGCTGGCCCTGAGGCCTGCGCTTGGTGCTGCCCTGAGGGTGGGTGCTGCCTCCTTTGGCTGGAGGTGATTGCACATCGCTTGTGGATGGTGGATGTAACAGGGACTGGAGTGTGGCTCCTCCAGCCTTATCCTGCTTGGAGCATCCCCTGGAGCAAGGGGTGCCTTGGTCTATAAAATCCCACTTGTAGGGACAAGGTGGGGCTTGGCTGGTTCAATAATGCCAAGTTAGGTGTTAGTGATGCCTTTGGGTGCAAAATTGGCACCAAATTGTTTGTTACAGGAGGGTGTAATGCCAGGGCTGCCTGTGGGGCATATTAATTCCTGCAGTGCTTCTGGTCCTGGGCTCCCTGACACAGAGGTGGCCACAAGAGACAGAGCTGCTGGGTCAGCAGCAGCTCCTGCGGGAGTTAGTGTAAAAGAGAAGGGTTACATGGAAGTGCTTTTTTTCTGCCTGTTTCTGGCCTTGGCTGTGCCAAGCGATTGCTGGAGCATCCTGCTGCCTTCCTGAGCTTTTGCCCGAGCAGGTCTCCAGCACTTGTTCTGGTCTCCCAGCCAGGACATGTTTCCATCTGGAAGGGAGATCTGAGAATAATACAGATATTAAATTCACTTTTTATTAAGTAGAAGGATGGAAGACATGTAAAAGGAAGCCAAGGCACCCCATATGGAAGAGATTCTAATTACCATAGCTAATTACAAAGATCAAATCCTCAGTTGTGAGGGGGACACAATGTCAAAGTTATGAATAAAGTCAAACCATTCAAAATCAAATGAGGAGCTTTCAGCTACACCCATTGATGCTGGTGAATGGGACAGTCTATTTAACAACCAGTGCGGGGAGCCCTGTGGTCTCCTTGGGGCGAGAGGTCTGAACTGTTGATGGCATCCCTGGTGGCATCCACTGGGTAGAGCCTCCTGGAAGGTTTTATTTGTCAACCTTTTTTCCTCTTCTGTCAGTGGTGAAACCAGGACAGGCATGTCAAAAGAATGATACGGTTGTGGAAATCCATTTTCCATACATAGAAATGGAGCTAGGGGCAATTTTTGTTTCTGAGTCTCTCTTGTTAGTAATTCAACTCAGAACTTTAATTTTGGAGCTTGGGGAGGTTTTATCCCCGTTTTTAATGCTGATGGCATCAAACTCTTCCTTTGCCAGGAAAGCTGGTGGGTACTGGGGAGTGAGCCAGTGGTCCCAGCCACGCTGTTCCTGCACAGCATCCTGATGCCAGCTGGGCATCTCTCCCTGCACCAGCATCTGCTGCAGAGGCTGAGCCACGGTTGGATCCCAGAGCAGCAGTTTGGGCTGTAAATCACATTTGGAGGTAATGGGGTATTCGACTCTTATCTGGGGCTTTATTAGGAAATCGTTAAATGGCTTTTTCCTCCTGGTCCCCCGCTTATCTGCAGCGTAAATGGCAAATTTCTGCAGGTAAAATGGCAAATTTCATCCACGATGTGGACAGTCCAGGCAAAGAGAAACCCATTTATTTCCCCTAACAGGTTTATCACTAGATCAAGGAATTGCTGAAGATACAAACACCAGTGGTTATTTCCCCAGGTGATGGATCTAGCTGCCACACAGCCTGCAGTAACCAAAGCATGTCACCTGACAGGGATGTCTAATGGACCCATGGTCATGACTATTGGCTCATGTATTTCAAGGTCTTGATTTAATTAAGTCCTGACTCCCTGGTATAAGGCTTTTCTTCTCTTTTTCTTTTCTTTTGTTATTATTATTTTCCCCCCTTTAGAAAGACTTCCCAAAATAAACTCATGTATTTAATCTCCTGCCCCTCCCTTCATCTCTCGCTTTCAATTAGCAAATTGAAAATTTGTCCTCACACCCTGAGTGAAAAGAACAGTGAAATCTTTTGCCCTTTTTCTGTCTTTTTTCTTCTTTTTCCTTTCTTTTTCTTTTTCTCTGGTAGAAAGTGCTTGGAGGCAGTGTGAAACCCTCTTTCGAAGCTGTGGGGCTGAGCGTGCCCTTTCTTATCAGCGCAAGCAGTGATGCCAGTGACACACTGTGGCTCGTTAGCAGGAAGCTATTAAAACTCCTGATCAATATTTTCTCAGGAGAGACAGAACCCCTTCAGTGTTGTTCCCCAGGCAGGCAGAGAAATACCAATGAGCCATCCACAAAGCAGATTAAAACTGCTGTGGTTGCAGGTTCTCCCACTAATGCCTGTGGGGGAAAACAGGCTGCCCCTCAGTCCAGGCAGCATGGGAGCTGAAACAGGATCCCGCTGTCAGCGTCCAGGTCTTTGGGAAAGGGGGAAAATTAAAGGTTGGGAGGATGGGGAGAGGGAGAAGTGATTTTTGGCAGGTATTAGGTGCATTTATAGGACTTGACTTCCAGTCAGAGCCCCCCACTGCCTGCAAAGGGCTTCAGGAGGGCAAAAATGTGTGCATAATGTGGCCACTACCAACACATAGCTTCCTGCTTTGGAAAGCCAGGAGGACAGAGGGTGGCGGGATGTGCAGCCCCTCTCCTCGCTGCCTCTTGGACAGTTCCCATTGCCTCTCACCCTCTGGAACTCAACTTCCAATCGAGACCAGTTGGAAATAGGACAGAAGTTTGTTTTTAATTTTAGAGCGAACCATCAGACATATCAGCTTTTCTATAAATACAATCCAGAAAACAAGAAATAACCACTTGCCCTAATTTAGTTGCTTTCATCTAAGGATTCAAAGCATCTGACAGCATCGCTAAGAAATAAGGGAAGATTTTGCAACCTGCCAGCCCCAATTCCTTTCCAAATGACCCCAATTTCATGTCA